AACATTAAGGTTGTCCTTTAACATTGTTTTGGAGCAATTGGCCAAAGCAATAAAAGAGAAAAAATTAAGAGATACGACAAATAACTCAAAGAACTTGGTATGGGTGCCAGGCTTATAAAACTAATAAAGAAAAATTAATAACTCTCAGATACCTGGACAGTAAATAGTTAAGGGATACACTCAAGAGGCTGGGTACAGTGGCTCACACCTATAATTCTAGCACTCTGGGAGGCCAAGGCGGGAGGATCACTTGAGCTCATGAGTTTGAAAACAGCCTGAGCAAGAGCCAGATCCCATCTCTAAAAAACAGCTGGGTAATGTGGTGGGCTCCTGTAGTCCCAGCTACTCGGGAGGCTGAGACAAGAGGATCACTTAAGCCCAAGAGTTTGAGGTTGCTGTGAGCAATGACACCACCACACTCTACCCAGGGCAACTAAGTGGAACTCTGTCTCAAAAAAATAATTAAAAATTAATAAAGATAGAATGGTTGCATTAAGACATTATAAATGTGAATGTTATTTAGCAAAGTAAGAATTTTTGAATTACTTACTTACCAGTTAAAGAGTTACTTCAGTCAGGTTTAGTGGCTAGAACAGGGAGGTGATAACTGTAGTCACTTTTGTAAGAGTGGTCAAGGAGGCTCAGGCCCACAGCTTAGGGCATCAGCCACATACACTTAGGCAGGCGAGTTCAAACCCAGCCCAGGCCTGCTAAACAACAATGACAACTGCAACAAAAAAAGCCAGGCATTGTGGTCAGTGCCTGTAGTCCCAGCTACTTGGGAGGCTGAGGCTAGAGACTCACTTAAGCCCAAGAGTGAGGTTGCTCTGAGCTATGACGCTACTGTACCCTACTGAAGATGACATAGTAAAATTCTTATCTCAAAAAAAAAAAAAAAAAAAAGCGGTAAATGAAGGTGGACACAGTGAAGCAGGAGTAAGCTGGTAAAAGAATGTTTAAACAAGAGCAGCCGGTGGTGGCGGCTCACACCTAGCACTCTGGGTTGGCTGAGGTGGGTGGATAGCCTGAGCTCAGGAATTCTAGACCAGCCTGAGCAAGAGCAAGACCCTGTCTCTACTAAAAATAGAAAAACTAGCTGGGCACTGTGGTGGGCGTCTGTAGTTCCAGCTACTCGGGAGCCTAAAGCAAGAGGGTCTCTTGGGCCCAAGAATTTGAGGTTGTTATAAGCTATGATGCCGTGGCACTCTACCTAGGGCAACAGAGTGAGACTCTGTCTCAAAATAAATAAGTAAATAAAACAAGAACAAGAGTCTGGATCCTCTTGAGATATTATCACATTCACTCTTTTTTTTTTTTTTTTTTATGAGACAGACTCTCACTCTCTTGCTCCAAGCTATGATGCCGTGGCACTCTACCTAGGGCAACAGAGTGAGACTCTGTCTCAAAATAAATAAGTAAATAAAACAAGAACAAGAGTCTGGATCC